AAAAAAAAAAAATTGCCAGGTCTCTTGTTAACTTTCTTTTTGTCTTGTTTTCCTTTGTGCAGTTCCCTTTTCTCAATCTCCATGACAACTTTATAAGGTTTAGGTTCTGGGAAGAAAGCAAAGGTACCACAGCAAACTGCTCATTCTTATTGTCCATGAGTGTCTCATCATCTGAGAACAAGCAAAGGGAGCAGAGGACGAAAGCACTGAGTGGTTTTGAAGAAACGAAAACATACAACCAACCAAACTGTGTGTGGGCAGACCCTCAATGCTGGTCTACTTCTATTCCACAAAGGACTTCCCAAGGCCACAGCAAGGGAGTCCTCCAACATGCCCAGTCCCTGGGGCCTGCAGGGACTGCTTGAGTCCAGCACCAGGCCTGCCTGTTCCTCTTGACTGTGGCCACAGGATGAGATGGGTCATCCACAATAAGCATCTTCTTGAGAGAAACCCTTCCCCCAGAATAACAATACATATCTGGATTGAAGGATGCTTGTTCTGCTGGTATGGCCAACTCAAGAAAGACCAAGCGTTCCATACCTGGTAATCTGAAAAGAAAGGAAAGGAAATATAAGGGCAAGATGAGAGAAGGCCATGGGAACCGTAACAGAAAAATGAGCTTCTACTGCAGCTTCCAAAATGTTTCTCAATAAATCATGTTCTCTTCCTCTCTGGGTCTCTAAATATACGGTCCCATCTGCCTTCCTAAAGCCAGGGAAAGCCTGCTCCACTTTCAGTCCTCAATCCAACCATCCCTTTCTCCGGCAGGCAAGCTTTTCTGGAAGGTGCGGCCTTCCTTCTCTGCCTCTTTGACCATTGTACTGACCACACTGCTGCGATGGTTTCTGCAGGTGCACTTGCTCTCACGCCCACCTTCACCTTTCACTCTCTGGCACCAGGCCAGATGCATTAGGAGAGTAAGGGCTGTGTCTTGTTGCTGGTGATCCGAGCACTCCACACATAATAGGAGCAATAAAGACTTCTTACAAAAAATCTCTTTTCATGGTTTTATTTCATTAGAGAGTGCCTGGGAGTTTGTTAATGCTGCATTGGCCATCTGGGACCCTACATTAGGATAAATGCAGCTCAGACAACTAGAACAGGGATTTCAGAGCTTCTCGAGGACCTTAGCCATAGGATGCAGCCAGTATCTGTCAACACCTGGATGCTGAAGCCTTACCTCGGACTCCACCACTGACGTCTCCATAGCTGTTATACTGAGCAAAATCTGTGGAAACAGGCTGACACAAGGAAAACATGTCATTTTGGAGTCAGATGAAAAGGGAATGGGATTCAATAAATCTTAAGAATTCTTTCCACATGAAATTCCAGGACCCTAATTATTTTTCTGTCTTCAGGAGTCTTAAGGGCACAAAGGTTTAGTGTGCAGCTGTTAACTGGAAGGTTGGTGGTTTGAACCCACCCAATGGCTCCTCAGGAGAAAGACCTGTCAATTTGGTTCTATATGGATTACAGCCTCGAGAACCCCAGGGGACAGTTCTGCTCTGTCACGTGGGTTCACTGTGAATTGGGATCCACGTGACAGCACCTGACACAATCCTTCTTCCACTAACTATCATACGTCTTGGTCTTTTGTAGACCATCTAACATCACAAGACAGAAGGCTTTGAGTAAGCCAGTATCTCCTGCAGATGAGTTAAAAACGGATCATTTCCCTACTTACACAATTGCATTTGTTTTACTTATTGTAGGGAGCTTGGTATATATTGATTTCTTTTTACAGAGATAATGATTCAAGTTGATCCTTTTGACTTGATTGTGTATTTGCTATGCAATTATTTGATGGAGTCCTGGTATGGTGCTGTAGGATAAGCATTGGACTGCAGGGTCAGTTTGAACCTCAAGGTTGATGGTTCAAACTCACCAGCTGCTCCTCAGAAGCCCCGAGCATGGCTGATATGAGTCAGAACCAACTCAATAGCACCTTACAGCAACAATAGTCTTCCTATAGGTTTCGATGCACGATTCTTTGGCTTCAGCCAATTTCTCTTTCTCTCTGTTGAAATCTTTTATCTTGTCTACAATTCAAAGTGATTTCACCAGCTGGTCAAGGAGATGCTAATTTTTCATTATATTCCAACAGTGAGATCATGAATTAGATATATTTAGACAAAACGTCAGTACTTTATAAACAGGACTTAAGAGAGGACTGGAGTCCTGGGGTGGCACTGTGGTTCATGTGCTGGACTTCAAAGTCCATTTGAACCGCAAGGTCAACAGTTCAAGTTTACCAAGCCGCTCCTTGGAAACCCTATACAGGGTCACTATGGGTTAGAAGTGACTCGATGGCACTTAACAACAACAACAGGAGGGAATTGATACAGAACTACGTTACAGTTTCTATGAGCTGGAACCAACCTGATGGCACTTAACAACAACAATATCACTGGAGCCACGTGCTCATTTGAGGATTATTAGAGCCTTACCCGGTGAAGTCCATTTTTGCCATAGCCCGGGAGAGATGACGTTTTAGATGATGGAACAAGTGACGCTGAATACAAAAAAGGGAAAAGACCGATCGTTAGGACGTTCCATTTTCCAATACAAATCTGGCAAAGTAATGGTTATTTTACACAGTACTGGGCTCAAGTGTTCCTAAAACATCACCACCTTTGGGAGAGGTCAGGACTGGGTGGTCAGTGATATTAAGAGAGGGGGGAAGACAAGTAGGGACAACACAGCTGGGGCCCAAACTCCCTGTGCCTCTAAGATTCTGGTCTGTATCTCTCTTAAGCCCTTCTTTATAATCCTAGTAATTCACCTATGATCTTCCTTTAATAGAAGAGGAAGTACCAGAGAGAAACTGAAGCATTTTGCCCAAGGGCACTCAGCTAGCAAACAGCTATGCAAGGATTTGAATCCAGGGCTGTTTGAATACAAAAGCCCAGCCACATAAATGATCAAAGTTTAGTTCACCACAAGGTTGGCGGTTCAAATCCACTAGCCACGCCTCAGAAAATCTACCCAGGGTCATTAAGAGTCAGAACCTACTAGACACCACACAACAGTGGCCAGACACAGTTGGAGCCCTGGTATATGACATCACATCTGTTAATAGCAGCTGAGCTTGGAGGGGGCAGAAGGAAGGGCAGACTTGAGTTCAAATTCAGCTCTGTAACTTAACACGCTGCATCTCTGAGCATTTAATCTGAGTCCTCATGTCTTGATCCATATAGGAGAAGTGCTATGTACTTTTTCCAAGAACCTCAGAATTAAAAGGGGCTCTCAAGACTAAACTGCTCAACAGAGACAGCTAGGCATTCTAGCTGAAGAGTATGGGCTCTGGGGTTAGAATCCCTGGACTTCTAAAATCCTAGTTATTAGTTATGTGATACTGGACAAATTACTTAGACTTCATGTGCCTCTGTTTCCTTCTCTCTAAATGCTCCTGTTTTAGGTCAATCTTTTGGGCTCGATGGTTTCTGTATTTGTTGGGGACAATAGTAATAGTATCTACTACACAGGAATACAGAGCTCTGGTAGCGTAGTGGTTACGAATCAGGCTGCGAACCGCAAGGTCAGCAGTTCGAAACTACCAGCTGTACCACAGGAGAAAGATGAGGCTTTCTGCTCCCGTAAAGATTTATAGCCTTGGAAACCCTGTACAGGGTTGCTGAGTCAGAACCGACTCCATGGCACATCACCACCACCACACAGGAACGTTGTGAAGATGAAATAAGATTTCACCACAGCCCTCGCATATAGTAAATATTAATGAACGTTTAAAGGCACCATTTGGACAGAAAATTATGCTCCTGAATCTGGACAAGGAGAGAATAGGCTTCTGATAAATAGAAACAGGACAAAACATAAACATACTGGTAGATGACCTCCCCCGGCACGTCAGTAATCTCCTCCCAAGGGTCAAAACCGCATTGTTAGTCCTCAGACCTTGGACTGAATATATTCATGCAAGGTCACAATGCTCTCACCAGACACAACAGAACCCTGTTCTCTAAGCAAGTGCTCCTTCTTGATCATTCTAGAAGGTATTGCCACCACAGGAGGACACACGCCTCCTGGTTCCTGGGATCCTCCAAGGGTCCCCATTTCAAGTAGGAAGGAGACACCCATGAAAGGAAGAACCGTGACAAGCTCATACACTATGGTGATAGGAAGTGGTCTTCCCAGGCTCCGCTTTCTATAAACCACTCTGTGTGTCTATAGCGGAAATGGTTCCGTCTCTCCTGGGACAAACACAGGCTCCTTGCGTGCTGGAGGTGAGCTCTGGGCTGGGGGAAGATGGTAAGTCTACTGCTCACCTGAGTTTATGGGAGAATCATAGCGACTGGCTGAGAGAGATGCCCTTTCTCGGATCTCCTTCTCCCTCTCCATCTCTTCTTTCAGAATCAGCTGTCCCAGGCCTGAGTTGAGCTAGTCACAGAGGAAAAAGAAAGTGAAGCTTGCAATGACTTTCATGGAAAATGAAGTTTCTCTTTTAGAATATCTTTCTAGAAGTTGATGATTCTGGAGAGACCTGGGAGTTCCTCAAGAGGAAATTCAAGTTTTAGATTCCGATCCTCTTAGCTTTCTGAATTCCAAGGCTCTAGTTCCCTAGTCAGGTGGTCAGAAGAATATTCTCCCTCCTTTCCCCTCCCCCAAACTGTCAGCAGCTCTGGACGAGTGTGTGCTGAGTTCTGAAGTGGGCAGGGAAGGATGAGGACGGTAGCCTTTAAAAAGAAATTGCACCAATTGGTTCAAAAACAAAAGTAAAGGCAATGCACGCTCACTGTTCAGATTTTGCTAACTACAGAAAAGGAGTAACCCATAGTCTACTACTTAGAAATGAACCACATTCAACATTTTTCTACCCACATACTCCACAAAATTGGGATCATACTATAAATGCAACTTGGCATCCATTTTCTATATAATCTCCCATATAATTATCTTTGGAAATCATTTCAAGGGTGGGAGAGTTTATAATTTCCTGGCTCCCTCCACCACGGCTGTAACTGGCTATTCCTCTTTTGGTCTTCGAGGATTCTGTAGGCCCAATGCTAGAGATAGGAACGTATGATGACAGCTTCTTAGGGACAGTCCCTTTTCTCCTGGCTCAAAAAGACATACCAGGCCCTCCTATTCTCTGGGAAAGGCTGGGAGAAGAGCTCAATCCCAAGGGGATGCCAGGAGCAGAGAGGGACCCTGGGATAAGGAAGGAAATGTTGTCCTTCTCATCCCATCTGTACACTACCTCGGCTCTACCTGGTCCTTAAGCACCCTTTCAACACATGCACCTGCATACCTACACCCACCCCACAGTCTCATTCTTTCATAAGCCCAAACATTCCATGTCTCTTTGGTCTCTGGTCTCAATGTGGATTCTCCAGAAGCTACTGTGTACTGCGCATCTTGTCTCACCCATCGGATTGCAAGTCTCTTGAGCGCTTGGACCAACTCTTGCACATTGTGGTGACTTGCATCCAGTCATCATTAAACAAAGCTCAGATAGAATGGAACTGAGTGGAAGACAGTGGCAAGACGGTGTCAGGACAAACCTTCATTAATTGCTCTTCTTGAAGCTGCCGGCGTCTCAGAAGCTCCTCCTCGTCTTCCTCTCTGCCACTGGATCTGCGTCTCATATCCGTTCCTAATTCCACAACAAAGACAACTTCTCACAGCAGCCTCACGACAAGGGAATCTTAACTGTCTATTCCATCTCTGCTCAATTTGTTTGGCTGGTCAAGTCAGTAACTGTCTTTAAGATTTTAAAGTGGGCAGCACAAGGGGGAGTGGGGAACTGTTTGCCGACTACTCAGCAGAGCTGACTGGTTTCTATAGAGAAGGGGCCCGGTGTGACCAGCCAGTTCAATATGTGATACAGGTGAGGTATGGAGTTCCACCTTCCAGCCAGTGCTCTGCTCACTTATAACTCGGATGGTTTTTGTGACTGGCAGTATCCATGTCACCGCATGAACCATCACACCTCACTGATGGGTATCTATAGATAATAGTCTGTGCTCCTCGGGTCAGTTTCAATCAGCACACAATCTCAACTCATTTCATACTATCAAGTAGGTATGATGGTCACTCCCCTGTGATGTATCAAAGACTTGCTGTTTTTACTTTTTCTGAATGTTGAGGCTTGTCATAACATCCTCACCCTGTCTTTGACGCTAATGACATCCATTAACAAACATATCTTTTCTCTTTCTTTTAAGGAATGAATCTGTAACGTTTCCTTTTTCTCAATTCTTCAAAAACTGATCATGAAGGAACTGTATGCTAATAGAGGTAAAAATATTAGTACGGCTTTAAAGTTGCTTAGTTGGGTAAGATATAGTCAATCCTATGCAAATTTGAACTTTTTATAAAAAGGCAGGGGAAAGACGGAATCTGTCTGAATATCTAGAAGAATATGCATATTTAATTTTTTTCCCTAAATTGCTTGGACTAAGTTGGCTGTTCAAGGAAACAGGAAAGCTTGCAAATCTAATCAATATAAACATCAGTGAATAGTTCTCATGGTTCTCATTTTGACTAATGGGCTCAAACATTTCTACATATGAGAACTCCAAAGAACTTGGAACTATAACAAAACTTTTATTCTCCCTCTCCCTGCCCAAGTCCCCCAAAAGTTTAGCAACTTTACTGCTTCCTTTAAGCAAGCTGACTGACCCAGGACAGGGGCCCCAACAACTTCCTGAAGGATACGGGTTAGTGCATCTCAGTCTAAAAATCAGAAATGTCAACATGAATTTTCTCTTAGTCTATATAAATAATAATGAGTAACAGACACACGTTTGTAAGAATTAAATACGTTTCAGGTCAATATAATCTATAAACTACTTGTAAATCATGACCTGAAGACATGGCTTTTCCTTTAACACTTTTTACAAATTTAAATTGCTTCCAAATCCACTAAGATAACTGGGTGAAAAACAGCATGGTGAAGAAAATTTGGAAAATTGAAGGCCTTTTTGGTTGCCAACAAAATGGGATAAGATAGCCCCATCGTTGTACAAGGCTGACGTCATTACATTTTCAGTATTAGCCACTGTGTTTGCTAATACCTCCGTTTAGGCCAAGGGATATCACTACTGACAAAAACAATGAAGACACAAAGACAGTTCTAAAGCATGAATCTGTGGTTCAAAGCAAAGCATGAAAACGCTCAGGTGAGACATCAGAGCACAGAATTCATGGAAATGAGTGATGCAAAATCACATGACTTCACACCATAGTTCAGAAAACTTACTTCTTTGTAATAGCCTTTCTTAGTAGCCAGGGATGAGATCTCACAAGGAAAGTGAAATGTGCTTAAATGCTAAGACCTTTTGTTCAGAGAAATGTTAACTAAAACCCAGAAATAATCCAAAACAAATTTAACTGAAAGCAGTCACGCTAGGAAGGGCACTCAGACTCGAATGACATAGAACAATGTTCTTGTGCAGAGGTTTTCGTCCAAATATGTTCAAAAGCATGACTGGCTTTGCATCATAACTCTGAGAGTTTGCAGACCACCAGTTTTGGACTAGACCTGTGGTTTAGGAGGTTTGATTAGAGCAAAGCCCTGGTAGATACATCTTCATAACTTTTAAGCATTCTGTGCATGCAGTACTATCACATTGTGACATCCTTCCCACCCCCACCCCACACTAGTCTACCTCTCAACCGTAGAGGACAGCTTTTCTTGCATATTTAAATTTTCATTTTGAGACAGCCCCCGTAGAAATGCGTCTGCTTGACCTTAGCTCCAACAATTGCATACCTATGGCGGCAAGTGAGGGGGGACCAGGCCAGTGGTCCGTCTCAATCTTTGGGATTTCGTTGGGGTCTGGCGCCTGGGCTGCTGGGAACTTGGAAAACTTGATGATGTCTTCTGAAGATTTGTTCTGGGCTGCCAGGGCAGCTGCATCTAGGTGGGAATCAGGGGAGCTTAGCTATGTGTGTAAGGCATGCGTGGTCCAGCCCCACTTCTCTGGGTTTTTTTTGTTGTTCCCTGGCAATGTATTTAACTCTAGAAGGTTCTGTTTATCACCGTTAATTGCCCAGTTGTTTGGAGGTGCTCAGTGATACCTCATCTTCCTTACTTCCGGTTAGAAGCAAAGCTCCATTCCACATCTGTTCTGTATGAGGAAAAAACTTTGTTCTCCAGCCGTGCTACCCCAAACTAGCAACCTGCGGCTATTTCATTAGAATGAAATGAAACAACAAATTCAGTTTCTTGGCTGCACTAGCTACATTTCAAATGCTCAGCAGCCTCACATAGGTGATTAGTGGCCAACTGTATTGGACAGCACCGTAATAGGACAATTTCATCATCACAGAATGCTCCACTGGCGTTGAGAGGAATTACAAATTCACGTGAGTGACTGAAATTAAAGAGCAAAATTATTAAAAGCACAGCATTGTTAGTTGGTTGTCTTTGCTCTTTATTTGACAGCTGTCTGGCATGGTATGCTTGGGCAAGAAGCCACAAAATCATGCTCTAGCACATTTTAATGCTTGGTGGTAGTGGTTATGTGCTGTGGAGTTGGTTCCGACTCACAGCGACCCTGTACAGGGTTTCCGAGGCTGTAAACCTTTATGGGAGCAGAAAGTCTGATCTTCCTCATGTGGAACAGCTGGTAGTTTCAAACTGCTGTCCCTGAGGTTAGCAGCCTGATTTATAACCACTACGCTACCAGAGCTCCTTTTTTAATGTTTAGATGCTCTATTTATGTCCTTGAGTCCTAGAAGAAAGAAACAGGAACGGAGAATCCATTTTCAGTTTGCCTAGGACTGTGATTGCCATTTTCCATGTCTACTAGTTGTTTTGTTCAAGGGTGTGCACAACTACACGTATGTCCGTTACTAGAAACCAACAAAGGCCAGAGTACCAGTAATCATGATACCAGACTCCTCAAGGGCTGTACTAGCTTAGAGTCTATTTCTAACCACAGAGGTCCACCAAAGAAAACCAAACCTGAGTGAATTCTGACTCACAGTAACCCTACAGGACAGAACAGAATGGCCCTAGAGGGCTGCCAAGCCCATAAACCTTTATGGAAGCAGACTGCCACCGTTTTCCCCTAAGGAGCCACAGGTGGGTTTGGACTACAAACCTTTCTGTTTAGAGCTGAATGCTAAACCACTGTGTTACCAGGGTGCATCAGCACACAGTTGGAGCAACCTGACTGGCCTGTAATGCTTCCAAACATTTCAAATTATTACGCCATAAATAACATTTTTCCTGGTAGACTCAGATATTTTTACAGTTATATATTTTATATGAGTACACATAGAATTGGTTTTGTATACATTGTAAATAGAAGTTTAACTTTTTTTCTCTTTGGATCACTAGCTATGCCCTTGTTGTTCTTAAGTGCCATCAAGTCATTTAGACATTTTTTCTTGACTACTTGAGACATTTATTCTTTCATATGAAATTAAAGATAATTTTATTGAAGTAAAAGTTTTGAATACTAATAAGAATTACATTAATTTACATATTGCTTTGGGGGAAATTGACATTTTTATTATTAAGTTTTTCCATTTAACAAATAGTATATCTTTGCATTTTCCCACAATTTTATTTTATGTTTATAAGTAAGATTTAGAATATTCTTCCTATATGCAGTATGCATGTATTCTTACGTTTGTTCTACTTTATAGTTTTTGTTGGACTCCTGGTGTGGTGCTATAGGATCAGCACAGGGCTGCAAACCACA